CCAACATATGAGACTGCAGAGTGCAGATTTAACTAGTAATGCCTGCTGCATTTATCTTTTTTTTGTCCCACTTATGCAAGCCCAATCATCCATCATCGTCACATCGACATTCTCCAGGAACTGCAAATAGCGTTCTATCACAATCGGAACCTGTAATATAATATAAAAAAACCGGTCACTTGAGTTTTAAAAAAAACTCTTGAAAATTTGCAATAAAAGTATAAAACCACATGAGAAAATGCATTTACATGTATACCTACCTGGTCGGATATTATCCCAGAAACGCCAATAGTGGCTCCGGGTTTTCCATACAAGACTATACGTTCAGCCAAGTCGAGCAGTGGGTGTAATAATATATTAGCAATAACAACATCATACGTTTCTTTCTCGGCAATAATCTTCGGATTGTATGGATTTTGCTCGACTGGACATTCACTCTCGAAGTTAGGACCGTTCTTGGTGGGAACAAGACTGAGGAGCAATTTGTGTTGTTCTATGTTGTTCAGAGCAGCATTATGCCGGGCTGATGTAATCGCCTGGGGCTCTATGTCGAATCCAACTGAAAATTCGGCCCCGAACTATAGTACTTTAAGTCAGAAAGAGTGCATGAAAATTGAAAACTAAGAACTTGAAATAAACCAATGGAAAAATATGCATTAATCATCACATTTCCATCTCATATATCTATACGTAGTATTGAATTTATCGAAATTTTCGTTCTTTTGTCAAAAAATCAGTTCAAAACTTTTCTCTCTGTCATATTTTCTTTTGCCTCAATTACATTGGAAATCAGGGTTGCTCCACATTATACACACACTATTCTATAATTCTAATGAACTTCTAAAGTACCTTAAGTGCTGCTATAGCGAGAACACCCGACCCTGTACCATAATCGAGAAATTTTTCTCCTCCTTTTATTAGTCGATGAAGTAGCAATAAACACAATTTTGTTGTGGGGTGTTCTCCAGTTCCAAATGCCAAACCAGGATTCAAAATTATGTTTATTGCTTCAAGATCCTGTAAAACCAAGTATTAACACAAAGAGCTAATACAACAAGGATGTTAATAAACACTTGATAAATGTAATCTTACAGGGGGATTCCTCCATTCAGGCACAATCCAAAGTCCTTCCTTAATTTCCACTGGATGAAAAGATTCCTGGATTTCACGTATTCCGGGAATGACAATATATAGTATATACAATTAGCAAAATCCACGACTTGAAAACTTCTGTTCGTGTTAGAAATTTTGAGCAGACAACACAGTAAAAGCTGAAAAGTGATCTATGGACTAAATTATTGAAACTATTGGTAACAGCAAAAAATTTGCCAACTGATTACCTGAGTTTGTTTGATCCAATCAGTGTGGTCATGTATTTCGACTTTGTAAATAGGTAACTCTTTCAGCCCAACTGAATCCGAAGCTCTAACAACACAGTTTTTCACATCCTGGTCGACATTGAAAGTAGAACTGATCCATATCTGCGCATGAAATATTTCCTTTAGTTAGCAATCATTCGAGCCAGTTACGATCTTTCGAAGCTTGGATCATAGAACTCCCCTTCCCGAAAGAAGAAGCTTATCATAAATTCTTAATTCCAATAATTCATGCTATACACCACACATAAAATATTAAAATTTCAAAGTTTACACTCAACTGTTTGCTAGTTTTGATTTATCTACTATCTTTAAGAGAGAATAAACTACCCTTGTTTCCATCTTCCATCCTCAAAAGATTGTTCTTTTGATAATAGCTAATCAAACCATACATACTAACACGTAACTGGTAGATCACTGAGTACTAAATATATTATGAAACAAGCACAAATAAATGGAAGGGTAAACTAGTTGAGTCTAGTTCGAGCTCCTGATACTCAAGCTCAGGCCTTTATCAAGCAGAGCAAACAAGCTCGACTCATTTATCAAGCTCTCTGCTCGAGCCCCAACAACCTGAATTCGAGCCTGGCTACAGAAAATTACAACAAAATCCCTATTTTTGAGCCACAACGAGCCGAGTCTAGCTCCCGAGCGGCTCGTTCAGTTAAACAAGTATGATTCTGGATTTACAAAAAAATAAAAAAAAAATAAAGGAAAATTCAGCTTGTAACGTGGGAAAGTTTTGCCTTTTCATCATCCCCGTGATCATCTTGCTCGTCAACGGTGGTCGAGGTAGCTCCAAAACACAGAAGAGACTCCGAAAGCATGTCCTGTTACCCAAAACGGAACTATGAAGATCTTAATCACACAAAACACACACCAACTACCAATCTGGATAAGAAGAAATTGCAACTTCGTCCTTACAGCAACTCGTCTGGGGCAGGAAATGCGGACTGAGAGGTACGACGAAGTGTACGCAGCGTCGGTGACGGTGGCGCCATTGCTCGATGGCAGTGTGGAATAACTAGAGACGGCGGTGTTGAACCTCGATAAATGGCTTTCCCGGGCCGCGTTGGGTGAGGGGACGAATGTGAAGCGGCGGCGCGGTTGGGGAGAACGGATGCGGCGGCGAACGGAGAAGAAAGCGGCGGAGGGATTGTGGCACGTTATGTGTTTGATGAAATGACTGCGGAGGGAGGAGAGTGGGTGTGACATGGACGAATATTTGGGGATGAGTGAGCTAGTGGGAGAGTACTGAAAAAAGAAACGATATTTTAAGTACGGAAAAAGAAAACCAAAAAAAGGGCTATGGTGATAAAATCCGGTGGTTCGCCGGCAAACCGCCGCCGGAAAGAAATGGTGTTCGACCCGAACCCGCTCTCCCTGAGCGTACCCGAACCCGCTTTCGAGTCGTGGCTCCGCGATTCAGGCTACCTCGAGGTCCTCGACCAGCGCACCACCGACCTCCACCGCCTCTCCTCCGCAGGGACCACCGAGTCCGCAGCGGCGATTGGTTCCGACGGTGTACACCTTGCCTCGCAGCTCCTCTCTCGCATCTGGACCCTCCTGTCGCTCCTCACCTTCAGCCCTTTCTCGAAGCTCGCCGCCAGCGACTTCACCGGCACCATGCCGAGCTGGACCGCGGCGTTATTCGGCTCGTACGAGTCGTATTCGTTCCCGTCCTCGCCGTCGCAGGCTCGGCTCCGCGTCCACGAGAACGTCAAGCGATTCGCCCAAAACTACGCCGTCCTCTTCGCTCTCTTCTTCGCCTGCGCTCTGTAATGAATTTCCTCCATTTCTAGCCATAAATCATCTCTTTGTGGATTGAATTTGTGTTCTCATTTAGTTTATTGTGTTGTGCATTTGATAAGCGTGATTGTGAACTGGAAATCTGCGACCGAGTTGTGAATTTGATGATGAATTTTCCACTTTTTCTTTGGGCATTGGTGTATGTGATGAAGCTCGAAATTGTCATTTTCCCCCTTTTTTTGGGCATTGGTGGATGGGATGAAGCTCGAAATTGTCGAAAAAACGAGCTTTCTGTTGAATATCTTGTGAATTCGATGATTTTTTCCCCCTTTTTTTGGGCATTGGTGGATGGGATGAAGCTCCAAATTGTCGAAAAATCGATCTTTCCTTTGAATATGTTGCAAATTTGATGATTTTTTTCCCTTTTTTGGGGCATTGTGGCATATGATGAAGCTCGGAATTGCCAAAAAATGTAGCTTTCCTTTGAATTTGTTGTGAATTTGATGATTTTTTTTTTCCTCTTTTTGGGCATTGATGTATGTGATGAAGCTCGAAATTGCCAAAAATTTAAGCTTTCCTTTGAATATGTTGAGAATTTCGATTGCTTGTCTAATTTCAGTAAACCTCTTGAACTGATTTTTTGTTGTCATTGTTTTGGGTGGCAGATATCAGTTGCCATTAGCTCTTGTTGGTCTCATCTTGTGCTTTGCATTGTGGGACGCATTTAAACTTAGCAGCAATCGATGGGGTTTTGATCGGTATCCCGTAATAAGACAGTCGTTAGTCCGTATAGCACAATGCGGTGAGTTTTCTTCTCGTCATCAGTTTCACTTGCAGCTTCTTTACATTATTTAGTTATTTCTCGTGTCCCGACTTAAAGAGGGAAACACGTGTTGATATAGTTATATGCCTATTTTCGAGTATTATGTCTGTTTCAAGATCGATTTATGTTTTGAGGAGATATAAATTGTTGGTTATTGGTATCGAAAATGTCTTAGTAGGGATAGAAGTAGGGCTGCCAATGTACCGAGCGGCTCGCAAGCGCTCGACGGCTCGAGCTCGAGTTTGACCGAACTCGAGCTGGTCGAGCCGCTTGAGATATATAGTGAATTACTAAAATACCCATTATATATAAATATCACAATATTTTAATATATTTAATGGTAATTTTACTTGAAATTTGAGTCGAACTCGAGCCGATCGAGCAATCTTTCGAGCATTTTGATTTCAATCGATCTCGAGCCGAGCTCGAGCGATTGTCTTCTTTTGTCGGGTCGATCTCGAGCGTCATAAATTGAGCTCGAGCAGGTAAAAGAAAAAAAAAATAATCTTACTCGATAAAAGACAAACAAAATCACTGCATTTCTTTCTGTCTTTTGGTTATTCTCTTGTTTATGCTTTTTGTCAAGCAGTGGAGCAAACCTTGTTAACCGAAAAAATGCATGATAACATAGTAGGAGCAAACCTTGTTAACCGATATCTGAATCTGTCGAAAAATCTTACGACTATTTCATGCGTTGAAGAGATTAACAAATAATGCCTTACTCTTTGCAGCAACTGCAGTAATTTTATTCACCTCCAATATCCAGTTGGCCGTCTTCTGTGCATTTGTCGTAAGTTACGCAGGTAAAAGAATACTGTTCTAAAGAGCCATTTGCTTTTACAGTTTTACTTCTGGATGCTCGGCCAAAGTTCATCTTTTTAAGTATGTATTTACCTTCTGCAGCCATGATATTGCACGCCTCGTTTAGAAAGTTGACCCCCACAAATCAACCGGCTGCTGGAGGTGGTTGTCGGAAGGTGGCCGGAAAATAAAGCCGGCCAAATTGAAAACAGTCTTAATTGCAGCAGTGACTATGAGTTCCAGTTGATTTCGATATCCAATTTTGAAGAGGTTATGTGCAAATAATAACCGAATAACTCACCAGTTACTTCATGTTGGTGATTAAATTTTGGAACATTACATGAGCTATATAAATCCTCTGTAAATTCAGTAGTCATCATCTGAAACTAGGTACCAACTTATTATTTATGTTCATGTTAAAGTTTTGCCTTTTTCCTATTCTTTCTATCACTGGTTTCCAAATTTGAACTCCTGTTGGAACTATTTAATATTTATTTTCTTTGGCCCAGAATAACTTCTGCATTCTGCTAATCCTCTCTTTCACATTATTATCTTCTTTCTTTAGCTATGATTTTATTTTGTATTTAATATTGATTTTGATAGGCTAACCTTTGGATTTAGGATAAAATCAATGAAATGCAAGAGTTAATAACTTATTCATTCTCAATCAACTTGGGAGAGTTAATAATTCATACATTTCCAATCATCCTCCTTATGAAATGTATTTTCCATGAAGAATTAATGTACAATAATAGTTTCATTTAATTTAAGAAAATAAAATGTATAACAGTTTAAATCAAAGTTATATAGATCACAAACAATAGATCTTGATCACTCTTTGAGTGTTCTTTCTGTTCTATTACAAGGCAAATTAGAGAGACTTATAGTCCAAATTTTCTTTGGCAGCAAGCATAACACGAAAAATATATAACGAATAAATAACAAAATTATCATAAATTACATGTTTCTTGAATGATATGTACAATTCAACAAATTTTAACCCAAAAAACACGAGAAATTAAGTTTACCCAGTCGATAAATAAGACGCCACATTTCAAGAATTTAGGTCCCGAGAGGCGTGGCCTTGCCATCTGCATAATATTATATTAAATGGATTAGACCGCCTCACAGAAACAATTTAAAATGTACATACTTTTAAATTAAATGTTACAATTCAAAATCACATAAACGAAAGCGTGACATTTCATACAATGAGTATGCATTTTTGTTAAAAGGAAAAAGTATGATGGGTTGACCAGACTAACAATTAGACCACCTCACAGAAAAATTTTATGAACAGAATCTTTGACCAACCTCGAGAGCAAGAATCTAGCCAGTGGACTCATATTGGAATTCGAATTGTGCTCTTTATTCTGCTGTTTTTTCTTGTTATCAGCAGCTTCTGAACTTGTAGAAGGTATTTCTATCTTTGCCTTAACGAATATCCGAGCAGCCAGATCCTGCAGGTCCTTCATGGACCCATCATTTGAACTACAAAAACATTATTTATCTTAGTTGAGAAAGGCCATTTTAATCAGTTTTGTAAGTGTAAAAAAAACATAAAAAGAAAAAAAAAGAATTAGAATTTAGCATGAGAATGAACCTTGCCAATCGTTGAACCAAATTGGTTACAAGTAGTTCGGAGGAACCGGGATTATGACGTTCCATATCCATTAACGAGTTGGCCACGGCCTGAAAGATTGATCCTCTTGAATCGTCAGTGATTGCCTGAGTTGCACAACAAGCGCAAGAAAATTAGGAGACCCGAATTCTCAAAATCATTTATTTGATGCATTTTAGGGGTTTCTAGTATGCCCATACAATTTTCCTTTTTTTTTTTAATTAGTAAGTTTATATAATTTCTATATTATTAAAGCAAGTAACAAAAGGAGAGACAAATGTTCCAACATCGGCCAGATATTTCGTATCATTTAAAAAAATAAAAAAGGCATCTTTAGAGAAAAGAGAATAATGCATTCGTTCGTTTCCCTGTGATTCGAAATTTTAAGAGCAGACTCAAAAATGTATATAGGTTTAAATATTCAAGGGCTTACATCTTTAAGAGATGGAATGAGAAGAACCGATAATGGGGTAGAGAGAGCAGCTGCAGAACTTCTTGCATTATCCTCCTCGTCACTCGTGTGGTGTGATCTTGTAAATGCTTTTTGTGCATCAAAGTAATCACAAGAATGGCTGGAATGAAAATTTCATAACCAAAAGAGAAAAGAAAAAAAAAATTACATAANAAAAAAAAAAAAAAAAAAAAAAAATACTATGCAGAATACTGAGTTAAATAAGGAAAACCTTGATGAAGCAGAGCTGGTCGTTGATTGCTCAGTTTTTCTGCATTCCTCGACATCTCTCTTGCTGAATGCAGATCTTTCCCTCGTATTTCCTTTTCTCCCTCCCTGTATTGCAGCCTTTGCCTAAACAAAATAGAAAATAAGTAAGTTTTGAATAACAGCCGTGTAAGATACAAATCCCTGAACTTTTTTGAATAGTACTAAAAGTTGGTCCATGCAATAGAAATCCCCTACAGAACGTTCAATGAGATATAAATCAGGTAGATAAGTTCTAATGACATATTTCCTACAAAACGATCAATGAGATATATTAATTGACATCTAAGACAACCTCAGCAAGGTTTGCTTCACTGTCTTCAAGAACTGCACTAAAAGTTCTATCTTGAAGTCCCAGCCTAGACTTTGCATTTCTAGGAGAACCCGAATCTTCATTCTGACCACGATAAACAACAGTGCCACTGATGGAAGTATCCTCAGTAGAGGCGAGTGTGCTGCTGGACTGAAAAACCCAAAAAAAAAACTCCATTCTTAGTAAAAAGCAGAAAATCTAAGTATATTAGTAAAGCCCAATATGTTTTTCCTCTCATACCGTGAAACTTTGGTTGCTGAATGGAGAGGAGGGCCGAGCTGCTCTAGGTGATCGTATTACTACAGTCCCAGTCCCACTAACATCTTCCTATAAAGAGAATAATAATAATAGAATAATGCTTGGGAATGGTATTAAAAATTTAAAACATAACATATCTAAATATAAATAATGCTGCTTCCAGAAAATTCACACGTAGTCAAGCTAATCCACAAAAAGAACTTATTTATTTCTAGAACTGCGAGCATGAGAATGTCAGCATAGAATTATTTTTAAGAGGACAATGAGTTTAAAATGTGAAAGTTTCAAACGACTATCAATGGATTTAGTTTGACATTTTCCATTTAAATTCAGTTCGAATTTCTTATCAAATTTGGACTAGACTTGAGATCATTCTATATTCATCCACCCCTAGTTCAGAGAAAAAAAAAGAACACAAACACAAATAATAAAGAAAAGCAGCAATCTAGTACAGATTCCAAAAGAATAGAAATGCCATACTTCATCATAGTTATCCTGCTTCACTGGATAGCTAGAATCTTTCCTCATGGAGAACTCTGATGAAGTACGAGCATTTGGTCCAGAAATAGAAAACCTCTGGGGCCCACCATCGGCCATTTTCTCAGACGTGGATTGGTTCAATGGGGCCTCGAGCCTCCTATTCCTCGTCTGAGGTGGCTTTACTACACTTCGAACAGTTCCCGTCCCAGTTGATCCACCAATACTAAAGTCCCATCCAGTATTCTTCAGACCCATTGCCTGACTACTGCTAGGTGATGATGACATCAGCATGACATCTGCTAACAGGAGCCGAAAACTCCAAAATATCAAAAGATTCAACTGACCTGGCCCGAATGGTGGTCTCAGCTGCAGAATCTCTAGTTACTTTTACAGTTCCTGAAGCCTCTCCAAATCCAGTTGGGCCGTTATCAGTTGCCTCTTCATCAATGTGGAATTTGGGGCGATCCCTGTAGCAATTGCAGGTAATTATACCCTGAGAACTTCCTCTGTGCATTAAGTATAGTGACGAAGTTTGAAGGGTGGATGGGGAAAATGCATGAAATTTTTTTATTTTTTTTGGTTTGAGAATTTGAAAATTGATCGGAAATAGACCAAAACCTGATTCTCTCGAGAAGCCTTGGACTCTTCCTAGCATTTCTGATAAAACGATGCTTGAGAAGTTCTTTAGCACTTGACCTCTATGATCAACAGGTGAAGAATTTCAGTAAACCATACGGAAGGAAGAGAGCACAAAACAGAACAAAATGATGAAACCTAAAAACAGCCTACTGTTTCTATATATGAATTATAACTAGTGTTAGCAGTTTTATAAGGATGTTAAGAAACATTAGTGGATGGAAGGGCTAAAGTACAAGGAAGCTACCTCTGCTGGATTCTTCTTCAAACACAATGACACAAATTCTTTTATAGGGCGAGAAAAATGCTCATCTAGCTGCGTATGGAAAAAAAGTGAATCCACTCAAGTCCACAAGTTTATCGAGGCAAATCATATAAAATCACTGGAAAGGCTATTAAAGTAAACCTGCGGTGGATTCTCTCTGGGAATGATGAAAAGCACTCTCATAGGGTGAAGATCTGCAAGTGGAGGTTCTCCTTTTGCCATCTCAATAACAGTTATTCCCAAAGACCAAATATCTGCCTGTTTCGAGCCATAAATTCCGATATCACGGTGGGAAAATAGAATAATTTCCCAAAATTGTATCTGCAAATAATATAAACAGAACATGGAAATTGTATGGGCGTACCCATGGACAATTGGTAAGATTTACCTTCTCATTGTATCCGTCCGAGTTTTGAATTACTTCTGGAGCCATCCAGAATGGTGTTCCTACGAAAGTCTGACTTTTAATTGAGTTAGATGGAGATTTGACGACTCCTTGAATAGATATTCTCAGCTTAATTTATAATCAAGAGATAACACTGTAATCCAACTCTTCAAGAGAGTATGAGCAGGGTTGAGAATCATGCGTCACTTTACAGGGCGTTGAAGAGAGTAAATAGACGAGAACTTCAGACATAATTTCCAACTAAAGGAAAAGAACGAAGTATATTTTCAACTTTCATGTGCGCATATTTCAAGAAAAATAATCCAAAAAAACAGAAACGATACCTTCCTTCTCGATATTGTCCTTGTTAATTGAGCAGAAACGCCAAAATCTGCAACCTGTATCACATGAAATACAATAGTAAATGTAATTAACTGATAGTTACGAAATTCAACCACCAAAAGGTAAGATTTGTAAAACAGTGTAAGTGTGAAATGATGAATTTCAGTAGCCACAAAAAACTGTACCTTAACATCGCCATTCTCTGTCAACAAAATGTTTGCCGCTGCCAAAACATTATAGAACCATTATTTTAATGAACTACAGGAGGTCAATGCAATGGCTCAAGAGGCGGTACCACGCCTTCATATGAAGATTGAAGAATAAAATGCAATAGATCAAATAATATCAGTAACAAACTTAATTTCGCTGGTCTGAAAATTCAAAGAACTCTGCATGACAGAGATCACATAGATGACTAGTGAAAAGGTAGGCATGACCTAATTCGGATTAACAGATTGATATGCCCGTAAAACAAACCTTTGATATCGCGGTGAATTTTTCCCTCATTGTGGAGATAGTCAATGGCATGGAGCAAATCTCGTAAAATACAAGCTATGGAAACTTCATCCAGTGGCTGGTTTGGTTGAATCTGCAAGTGATAAAACAGCATAGGTACTCAACTCAATCTCTGCAACAAATCGTTGTGTTCCTTAAGCTATATATTTAAGAAAGAGGAATAAAAGATAAGCCACAACCCAAATGGTTATATATTTAGTCAAAAACATGTTATAGCCTGAAAAAGGAAGGAAGCCACATCTGAGCCAACAAGAAGGAAGAAATTAACCACTGACACAGGTCAGAGTAATCGCTAATTCACGACAATCTCAATGGGAAACTATTCATGATCCTATTTTAGATATGGAATATCAAGATGGTGAAGCTCTATTAAGTAGTTGATACTGATGAATGATAAATCAAATTATCCAGAGAAGATCTGGAGTTACAAAATTCTACGTAGACAAGAACATAATTACGAAAATGAAAAAATTCATAAATCAACTACCAAATCAGCAACTGAGCCACCAGCCATGTATTCCATTATTATCCACAACTTAGTTTGATGCAGAAAAGAACCATAATAATCGGTGATATATGGAGATCGACATTCTTGCAGAACTGCAATTTCCTATTGACAATTAGAGAGAGAGATAGAGATTATGAGATTCATAAAGTTTTATAAATATTTATCCACATACAAACTCAAAGGTACCTTTTGGATGTCCTCTATTTCGTCCTCCCTGTGAAAATACAAATAAAATTCAGAATAAGATCAAAAAAGTCAGTGCATAGTGCAAAGTTTAAAGTAGTAACTAGTAAGTACCAGAAGTTAGACGAGGCAGGGTTTTGATGTTAAAATCAGAACTAATCTTTTACAAATCAATCTATAGTAATTTACAGTAATTTGACCAAAAGTAATGATTGCTTATCATTTTGGTACTAAGTAAATACCAGCATTTCTGAAGTTAAACACTTACTCCAAGTTATAAACCAAGTAACAATTTAATGATTCACATAATTTCATTATAACTAACACATAGTGCCCTTCTAGTAAACCAGCTCTACCCCATTACAGAAATAGGAACATTCAAGGATGTATCTCAATTCTCATACGACAACACATGTACAAGCACTAACAAGTAGATGCCATTTGAAATTGGATTCACTAAACCTCTTTAACCCCATCTTAAGATTGATATAACCTCCACATCTTAAGCTCGACATAACCTGTCCCATATTTATTTTTATAGAACATCCTATTTCTCGCAATCATTCTCCGGAAGCATGACAAACACTATAAACCTAATGTGGACCCCTTTATGCAAAATAACATAAATGCAGGCAACTTGAGCACAGGAAAAAAGAAATAGCTAGGTAATAAATCATATGCTGATACTTCACTGTTATGAATGTATAGTATCGAAATTTAGAGTGAACTAGTGAAGATATAATACAAAAAGAAACACTATTCTAGATTAATAATAATAACGGGGAAAACATGCTTTACAATAACCGGTATAAATCCAGCCTATATACTCACGATTCCTCTAAATCAATGACCTTGATGGCAACCTCTTTGTCTAATTCCTTGTCAAATCTACAAGAGCAAAAACAAATAGATTAAGCTAATCAAGTGACCAACATTTTATACATAAAGAGTTCCATAAGGAAAGAATATATTAATGCAAATAAATGAAATATACGAAAGAGGTCTTATCAAAAAGTTTGTACTACTGTTGTCTTTTGAACATCTTTATGATGCTCTGAGAATCTTCTTCCTAATGTAGCAATATATATTGGATCCAAGGGTTCACAAGTGAAAACAAAGCTCCTACTATTGGCACAACAGAAATGAGCGATGAGATAAATTTTCCATGACTTCCACATTTTCACCACTAGCCAGAATCTCAAATCCCACTATACAGACATTTGTGATAAACTGGTAATGGTAAAACTGGTGTAAGAATGGAATCAGGTAAAGTGAATATAATAGAAGGGGGAAATTCATAATTAAGTTCCGCGGGGATTCCAATGTCACCGATAATGTGGCATTTAATTCCTTGTCCGCCTAATAGGTATGTGGTCTGAATTTCACAGGTTTCAGGCTAAAAGGGATAATATGTAGGTGGAAACGAGCTAGGTCACACTTATAAACCACGTTGAAAATATCCGCAATCACTGTGTGTGAGCCTTTCAAGACATTGTGTAAATCAAATGACAAAATTCACAAAATACACTTCACTTGGGGAATGGTGATCTACCTAGAATTTAATAACGAACCAAAGCGACAAAAGTCTATCGTATTCAAACAATCCCATAAAGAATTCACGAGTTCAGACCGCAAATTGCAGTGTGATCCAAAACAAGTTGTGGAATTGCAACCTTTGAACCTAATATTTATTTCGACCAAAATATCATTTTTTTTCCCACTCTAGTGATTTCTAGCATAGGCATAGAAATATAAACTCTTTATTATTGTAGTCTTACTTACTTATTGGCAAGATATTAAGGCAACAACTTAAAAGGTAACCCTAAAATTTTACATCTTATCATCCACTCTTGAATTACGTATTTTGGCAATGCAAATGAAAAATTCTTACAAAGTACTCATTTTGAGTTCTTAAAAAATTTTAAAAATTCAAATGTGATAAATCTCCATATATCCAAAGGCGCTTTGCATTTGAAGGAGGTAAAGAATCATCATAGAGAGGGATCCAACGGGGCACGCAGGTAACCCACATTGCCAAAAAAGGAAGTAACACAACGAGTGTAAGGTTAACACTAAACCATACCCCTTGTAGACATCCCCGAAAGAACCTCTTCCAATCAGCTCCAAATTGCTAAACCTCGATCCTGAAGCCTCCATTAGAGCCGCTGCATCTTCCATTTCACACTTATTCGCCCTTCGTCACAATCTTCACCAAATGAAAAAATCTCCTGAGCCAAATTGACAAATTCACTCTACAACTCAATAACATGGCAAAAAAAATATCAAATGCAGCTGCATTGAATCATCACTCTGTTACATAAGCATCCAAAAATCTGAGGAAAAAGGAAAACTGAAACAACTCATAATGTATACAACTGAAGCAGCACTGTATATCCAGCCGAATTACACGAAAACGCAATGTGGCACTCATAAGATTGCCATCCTAGTTAGGTGAAGTGGAGAATCTAAAGTGACGGCCCAACAAATTTCATTAGAATTATTTACAAAAAGTATGTTTATAACCCAAAAGCCTCCAAAATAACAGCGAGATTGCCATACGAGTACGCTAGTCCGCCATGAGTGACTTCAAATGTGAGCCATAGATTTTTCCCTTACCGTACAAAATTGGAATATGTAAATACAGAAGAAGGAATACTGACCTTTGCCACTGTCGATTTGAGGAATTGGGTTTCTAGATTCACAGAGCCCAAATGAAAAATTTACAAATTAATCACAAAAAAAAAAACATATCTAGAAAAATCAGAGGCCCTCTTCTTGAATATATAATCATACACACACATACACACATATATATATATATATATATATATACAAACAGGTAGGGTCCTTTTACATATCTGCTCCGTCTTCTCTGGATTTCGCAGAGTAGAAGAGCATCGATAGAAAAGCAGAGTGTCAGCTTCGTTTAAAACAAGTACACAAAATACGGTTGTGAAAAGCTTTTGTAATTTGGCCTTTAAAAAAATTATAGTTTGTATATTGATTATTGACATATTATTTTTGAGTTTGTTGTTGTAAATAGCTTTTGTAAAAAAATTATATTTTGTACATTGACAGATTATTTTTAGATTTTTTGATGTAAAAAGCTTTTGTAATTTGGCCATACGAAAATATATTTTGTATAGTAAGGACGTCGCATGTTATTTTCATATTTGTTGATTTGTGTTTGAATGGCCGGTCATGTTATTAAGAATTATTTATTGTAGTTCATTTATCCAAATTAATTGGATTAATCAAATGGTTCATTATATTTGTAAACTAGTGTTGATGTTAAAAATTGTATCAACACCCAAAATATTAATCCAATTTTGTACATCTTTTTGAACAAAAAGATAAGGGATGAATACCCATTTTTTACCGAGTTTATATAATAAATATCAAGAAAAGATATTACAAATAAAAATGGAAAAAGGAATCCTTAGAACATGTTTGTATATGGAAATTTTTTGTTTTGTTTGGATTTTTTGGTTTGGTTCGGTTAATTTTGAAAAAAGTGATATGGTTAGTTGTTAGTGGGTATATTAAAATAATATTTAAAATAAAATAATTAAAATTGATTTGATGTAAAAGTAAGAGAGAGATGATTGAAGTGATGGTTAGTTAAAATAATGTGAGTGGATAAATGGTGAATTAAGGTTCATATGATGTATATGTATGATTGATTGATATTATTTAATTATATTAATAATGCTGATGATAGTGGGGTTGAGTTAAAGTTGAGTTAAAAAAAATTGTTGAGTTAAATTTTCATAAACAAATATGCTCATTGTCTCTCATAAAATTTAAAATTGTTCTCCTTATCTGATAATGTAAAAATGTTCTCCCTTTTGTTTCTCCATCATTGAGACTATTTATAATATAGTTTATTATATAGTACATCTTGTATTTTTAGTACTATTCATCATGTGTAGTACAAGTTATTATTAATGGGTCTGCTCATCATTTGAAGACCTGTTCGGCCCAGTATATTTCCTGTTCGTACTTTGAGGACCTGTTCAGTCTTTGAGCTATGTTCGTCATTTGATGACTTGTTCGATCTTTGGACTCTGTTTGTCCTTTGAGAACCTGTGGGTCCGGAATATTTCCCGTTTGTACCTTTTCCTGACTTAGAAAAATATGCCGTCTATAAATCTATTTGTGAGCATTTTAAGCCCCCGTTTACTTTGGCACGTGTCACTCTTCTATAAGCCGTGGTCAAATTGGTATCAACAACTAATATTTGATCTTTGATCTTGTGCACATGCAAATAGTAAATAAAGTATTAGAAATTATATGTAACACTTATATAATATTCAAATTATAAGTTATATATTCTAAATTTTAACATGAGTAAAAGCAAACAATATATGACTATTTAATTTTATATTATCACTACATTGATTGGATAAAATATAATGAATAATTTAGTTTTCATAATTTTGAGGATCATCACTAAATAATTAGCTGAAAAAAATATTATATATACTATTATAATAATTATTTATGCATGTTTGAATGTTTTGACTATTTTGCTTAAAAAACAATGGCTTATTCAGGAAAATGGGCCAAATGTAAACTAAATAATGGAGACAATTGAGTTTCATTGGGTTTGAAAACTTATGGGCCAGTTTTATATACGGGCTTCGCGTTGAGCTTTAGAGTGTCTTCTTGCTTGCTCACGATTTTGCAAGCTACTAAGATGGATCCAATTGCCAACTAATAAGCATAAAATGATGAATCTGGATGAACTCTTTGACAAGTGAGTTTATTTTTTAACAAAACTATATATATTTAGAAGTATACCTTTAGAGCATCTTTTAAAACAATTGAAGTTATTCATATTAGTTTCCATTCAAGGAATATTATGAGATATTTTATGATTATGTAAAAAAAAATGTCTTAACTTTTTTAACCAAACATATGAAAGTCTAGACAGAGTAATTCAATAAATTGAGATTCTTCACTCACCATATCATAATTATTCAACCAATACATTACGAATCGAATGAATTGCATTAACCACGTCAATTTGAATCATAGTGTTATTCTTTTAACATTCAGTTCTACGTGTTGATTGTCATTTGTTAAAATTTATATATAATCGAAAGTAAGATTAAAGTTGCTAATGGAACTTTGATCATCAACAAATTGGAGCCAACAAAAAGTTTTAGAAAGAATTATAATGTAAAAATCCCAGACTGATGCCTAAAAACTTTGAACATACCCAAAAATTAGAGAAGAAACGTAAAGGCAAACAAAATGAAACTAATCTAATTTCTTCATTGGCACAAGAATGTCTCAAAGTTGAAGAACAATTTCAATTCTATTCCAAGGTTTAACGAGCATACCTCAAAATAACTTTATTATTACCTCCATGAACGCCCAAATGATTGGCCCAATTCTTTGAGGTGTAATGAGTTTCTGTTCACCCAAAAAACGAATTTGAATTGAAATTCGTACTTAATCGAAAAATACCCTATTCTGATGCTGACTCATTCGAGTTCATATCAGATATCACACACCACTTGTCCAGAATCAAGATTCTTCAAAATGAAAATAAATAAATAAATAAAAAACCAATTACGTCTTAATCGCATGACACTCTTTGCACGCCGAAACAAACGACTTCAAAACCTTCCCCCCAAACCAGCTCCCCTTCCCGCCGCCCGCCGGAGCCTCTGCCGCCGGCCTCAGCGGCCGTCTCGACCCGCCACCGCGCCCCAGAGCTGCCGCCGCCGGCGCCGCCGCGATCAGCCGCCACCTGCCGCTGCCCCCATCGTAAACCGGGCCCATCCTCCTCCCCGCCCGCAACCTGTTCGACGAAATTCCCCTTTTGGACGATGACTCGCTGGTGCTGGTCCTGGCGCTGCTGCAGCTGCTGTTCGTGCTGTTGCTGCGCGAAGACGTCAGCGAGTCCCTGCTGGCCCGGCTCGCCGACCGGGAAAACGACGCGTGACGTGGTCCGACCGGGAAAACGTGGGGCAGGAGCCGGCCGTTGAAGAACAAATGGTCGGCCGGAGAACCCGGGCTCGGGAGGCACCTGAATTCGAATTCGTCGTCGTCTTCCTGGATTTTCCGGCGGGTTTTGGCCGACCGGGTTTGGACGGGAAACGAGAAGTTTCCGGCACTGGAGATGATTTTGTTGGGTCTGAGATTGGTCATTGCGGTTGAGGAGTTGGTTTTTTTCTTGGGTTTGTGGAGAAAAGGATGTTTCATATAAATAGTGTGAACCTTTTTTTATTTTTTATTTTGTTTAGTATTTATTCATTTATTTAATTATTTAAAAAGGGAGGGTATTTGGGTTGGTTCTTTTTGGGATATGAGGGGCATCAATGTTGGGAGTTTTTTGGGGAAATGCAAATTTTATTGTAAGCTGACCTAATTGTTAGACGAGTCGATTTATTTTTGTTTTTCGACAAAAATGCATAAGTATTTCATGAAATGTCAATACTTTGTTTAACTTGTTTTTTTAATTAATGTGACATTTTAATTTAGAAGGATGTCTATTTGCTAAAAATTATATGAATATCTAAGACTGTGCCAAAAAGCAACCTTATTGTTGTGGTGATGGTTTTGATTTTCCTAAAATTTAGTTAATTTTTTAAGGGGGATGGAATGAAATAACGTGAATAACAATCATACATGGAGCGTGCATCTCACTATAATCACAGATCATATTGCCATAGAGCATATTTTATATGTTATCAAGACAATACAACTTATATCTATTTTCCTAGCCATGATTATATTTAAGAAAACAAAATTCATTAATCGGAGGAAATGTAAAATTTTACTTTTGCTATGGTTTCCAAAGTCTATGGCTTGTTTTCATTTATGTGCTCAGCGACTCATAGGTACATCTGTTAAACGTAACAAGCATGTCTGTTAGCTCAACTTATTTGATAAGCGAGTCAAACTTGATCTCATTTAGTTAACGAGTTCGAGCTCGAGTATTAAGATGATCGAGCACAACTCGGTCGAGTCGTTAATTACAACTTTGTGCACATGCATACATATTCCACATAAAAAACACAGATGAAGTTTTTTAACTTTATAGAGAAGATGATAGCATAATTACTTCAGAAAGGAAAGCAAGATAGCTAAGTTTTCACAATTTCGAAAGGGACCTCACTTGAATCTTGATCCTGAAAGCATTTCTTAAGAAGAAAAAGAAATGATTAGCTACATTTATTTATTAACAATGGAAGAAGAAAGAAGAAGAAAAAAAAAAGCCACATATATAGCCCCATATATGAAGCACTTAATAAAACCCATTACACCACATTTAATCAAAGGGTCAGTAAAAAATTAACTCAATCTTAGAGGAGGTTCAAAAAAGTGTACTTATTTTCATTAATCAATCTTTTATACAGCGGCAGTGGAAGTGACGTGGCCCCCATCTGGGAGTTTATAGTGACTTGGCAAATGGAAGAACAACGGCTGCACTTGGACATGTTCTAAACCTTGGACTCTTAAGGCCAACCAATGCATCTTAGATTTGTTTCATAATTTAGTCATATACTTGAGTTGTCTCGAAAGGGTTTAAAAGATGGACCCACGTGAATAAAAAGAACAATATGTGTTATATTTTGGTTAATATAAAATAAATATAAGATGAGTTACATGCATGGATGTAAGATGAAATTTGCATGGTACATTCATGAGAGTAAATATTACACATTGCTTGAATGTTGGATAAATTTCAATACAATGCATGTAGGATAACTTTCACTTTCACAATCTTGAAACTCATGAGTTTAATTAATATTAATATTGAATTAATAAATAAGTTGCAACTTAATGAAATTAATGTATCTCATTAAAGACGATGGGTTGTAAAGAGTTTTTACACATGTAACCACACATGACAAATGATACCTATTATATGCTTCTCTTCTTTGAGAAATCTTATGAAGAAAGTAGAAGGCTTGATCAATCCAAAATCCATTTTCATTTTGTGTATTCCCTAAAGATTTTCAAAAGAGGGAGAAAATAGAGTTTTTGGACAAAGTTCCAAAGAACTTGTTTGAGCCTTGTGTTGTATAAGTGTTCTTGAGAAAAATATTGAATAAAAAAATTTGAGTTGTGTTCAGTGTCTCTTTCTCTATTGTTATCTATTATTTCCAACATTATAGGCTTCTAGTTCATGAACTGGCTTTTGAAAGCCTGTTGGAAATGAGTTCTTAACGTGAATACATTGATGCTCAAGATAGTTACGTGCACTAAAAACGATTGTTTTATATGGTAGTGACTATAAAGATAACAATATTGTTCTGATTAAATTCATTGTACATGTGGAATGACTATTTGTATAGAAATAAATAGATTATCGCTCCTCAAAGCATTAGAATCCTACCAAACGGCAGTGAGATTTTTCAAGATACAATAGAATTCGATTTCCTTATAGCTTATGGATACCTTTCATTAGGGGCAATTTAATACTCAGAGATTCCACTCCCCTATTAGGTAAAAGGCGCCAACTTTCGAATATAATCATATCATCAGAGATAACCCTAAATTGAGCCTAATTAATCTGGCAAATGACCTTCTATCGACCTCTAAGTCCGTTTATTCGAGCAATTCAGCCGTCTGGATCTTTCCATACTTAAAATATATTTTTTCCAAATTCACATGCAAAAACCGTATAAATAGACGGATTAATAGAATACGACGGTTTCAAATTCGAATATCCCGATTTTGAATTTTTTCCATTTTCAACACCATAGGATCAAGTCCACCGTATCAAGACTTCCCAGGTCCATTTATTTATCTAATTCATAACAATTTGAAGATAATATAGTAATGAGTCTCGGTACTAAGTACTAACTATAAGTGATAAAGCAATTATGGTATCAACATATGCAGCCTTTATGGTTTTCTTTGTCCGTTGAAGCAAAGAAATGAAGAATAATAGAGTGAGTAATTGGATCAAATTGAAACTACCTTTAGGCAAATCCCAAAAAATGGCGACAAATGTGGAATTTGTTAATAGCGTGTTCCCCAAAAGGAGGGGCCAATGGGGGCCAGGCACGTTGCACATCTCACAAATTGCTTTTGGTTTTAGGACCACTTTAATTTCTTGCTTTTCTTCCGGCTCTTCATTTCTTAATCCATTTGTCTAGACCTTTACTTCTGACACGTGTCACTAAAAAAGATATGATTCAAAATACAATATGATAAAAAAAAACTTATTAAGTTAAATTTTAGTTTATGATCGTATTTAAGATCATTTGTAGATAATATAAAAATACGCGCGATACTGATGCATGAATATGTAAATAGAATTGCAATGTTTGATTTCTATGCTAACAAAAAGTACTGTCCACAAAAATCTATATAAAGTAAGGAACGTGTGTTGATATATATTGAAAACCAACAAAATCACAATAACTAGTAACGTCTCTAATTATTCTTAATTAATTTTTCGTGTAATAGTTTCATTGTGCAGGTCCTAATCCAAAGGACTACGTAATTGTACTACGTGTAGCATAAAATGCTCAAGGACATATTTATCTTTATCCTTTTGTTCATATTTATGCTTTATATTTTTTCAATGTCAATTATGTTATATTTGATTGCACAGTTTTTTTTAGTATTTTTTTAAGACATATTTAAGCTAAAGTTAAAATTTGTAAAAGACTCTTGGCATGTAGCATAAGCATCATTATATGGACCGGGCCTAGAATTTGATGGCCGAGTGAAAATTTGTAACCCAACGGGCTTTATCTTTACTAGCCCGATAACCAGCCTGACTGGGCCTTTTGAGGACTATAGGAGATCTTGAGATTTTTGTGCCTATCAATTGATTATAGAGAAATTTGCACCCCTTACCACAAGCTATGATTTTTATTACATTTATATACCCCTTATATTCTTATTTATAAAATTACCTAAACAAACTAAAAATATTTTAATTATACCTAATGTAACCGTATTACTTTTTTATGGCATATTAAATGCTAATGAGATCTTAATTGAAATTAAACTGCCCACATTTCTTCTCTCTCTCTGCAGATCTACCATATCTTCCTTCCCCCTCTTCGCCATCGATCCCCCTTCAAATCCGTCTTTCCATCTCCGTCATCTCCAGATCCCTCCTCTCCTTCCCAACTCCAAATGAAAATGTAAAAACTCATAAAATTCAAAACTAAAAACTCACTAATCCCAATCAAAGAAAAAAATTTAATCGACCTTGATGAAGACCTTGATGCGCGATTTCTTTGCCCGCTTCTTGTCGGAGTCCTTGCGGATGACCTTCACCGGGTACTTGGCGACGCCGGCGACGAGGCAATGGCCCTAGAGGCGGTCGCGGGTGCCGTCGTCGAAGTTCTTGAGAACGGTGGCCTTGTGGCCGGTGTAGCGGCCCTGGAGGAGTATCATCGCCTTGTTCGCCTTGATGAATTTCACCATTTTTCTTTTCGCTTTGGTGGAGGCGCCTGCGCTGCTGTTGAGCTCTGTGTGGCAGTGTTAATGGTTGATTAAGAATTTTTGCAATGCAGAAATGAAAGGGCCTGCCACCTGGGTAGTAGCTAAATGATTGTGATAGTGAAAAGAGTATGCTAATGGGCTTTACTTGTTTTATTTTCAGTATATCTACGGTATATACACAGTCTATGTTCATGGTAGCATATGTTATATGTTGCAGGCAGGCTGTATATGTGGTTATATGTTCAGTATATTAGAAGATTTTTTTGTAAACTGTTCAGTTTATGTTATGTTTAAATAGAGTATATGTTCAGTATATTAGAAGATTTGTTTGTATAAGGAATATAAGTAATATATTATAATATGTTTATAAATTATATATATACATTTATGAAGAAAATTTAAAAAAAAAAGACATAATTTTTTATGGAATACATATTTTTCATTGTAACATATACTAAATATATACTAACATATACTCAACTGGACAGCTGCGTGAATTGTTTATTTTCCTGTTAACACATCGCGGAAATCACGCCCAGAAATCACACCCAAGATATGGAATGGATGATGTTTACTGGGTAACCGATTTTTAGGCATTAACGTAATTATTTTTTATCAATTAGGTAGATACCAAATTATTTGTTATTCAATAGTAAATTCAAAATTTCTTTAATTTCGTGTGGTATATATAAAAATTTCCCTATAACATGAATATCCGATATATTTTGTTCTATTACATATTGTGCATGCATTGGCTTGATGATATTTAACTTAATAATTATACTATATATAAAAAAAATAATAATAAGAACAATTTATGTATATAAGTAAAAAATATGTATCAATTGATAAATTCATATTGAAAAGAAAAATAGAAATAATAAATCAAAATAAAAATCACATATTAAACCTTAAATGATATGATAATAACGTATTGATAATCAACATTTCTCCTAAAAATTATGATAACCTAAAAGTTAGAATCTTTTAAACGAGTTGACCGATTTGTTTTACTGTTAACTCGTTTCCGGTTTTTGGCGTTTTGAAATTGTTCCGCACGTCTCGAAAGTTCGGAGGACATGTGTCCACCGCGTAGTCCTCGTCCCACACTCTTACAGTCTACACAACACCCGTCTCTCCTTCATTTGATCTAAGATCTAACCCCAAATTTTATCTGTTGAATATATATAATTTCTTCACAAATTTCCTGCAAAATAATTTACACTATGACAGGCAAGGAAATCATCCAGAAAATGAAGGTATTGTTTGTTGTCTTATTCACGCAATTTTATTTAATTTTTTCATTTCTATAAATCAAATTGTCTTATGATTTCATCGGTTTCATAGTTTCCCTTTTTTCTTTTTGTTTATGTGAATTTTATTGGTGAAACATGAGAAATCATCATAATCTGATTGATATGTCTATAATTTGGGCTTTGAACAATTTTTTCTGCATATGTCTCGCTAGTAATGTCATTAGGCAGATAAAATAAAACTGTTGCTATGTCAAAAACTCAAAGACATCCCCAATTGAAATAACTGAATCAAGTACCTTTTTGTGGCGAAAAATTTTCATTTTTTTTTTTTTTTTTTTTTTTTTACAAATTATTAGATTACGAGTAATTGTTGAGTATAGAAAGGATGTTACGGATTTATCGAAAACGAACTATTCAATAATGTCGATCTGTCACTATTGTTGCTTGTTGGTATGTGTATTTTGTTGTATTGGATCTTGAATTTAGGATTATCTGAGTTGTTAATCTCATGTTTGTACCTCCTGTGTGAGCGCCAAAAATATATAAAAATGTGTTCGGGATGTTATAAATGTGTGTTCTTTAACGTAATATTCGTAGATTTATTTTGCATCGAGTATAAAAGCATGATCCATGCATTTGTTGGTATCGTTGTTGCATTTTGCATAGTTCGTATTTACATTATCAAAACATTGATTATTATCTTTGACTCATTTCCTCTTACGACTGGATTTAAGAGCACGGTTAAACCATTTTTACATGAGGCACAAAACCAAATATAATAGAAAGGAGGGGGTAAAATGAAAAAAAAAAGGATTATGTTGTTAAATTTTATTTATCCACTTCATTGTTGTCGAATTTTACGGTAGGAAAAAGTAGGTATAACTCCATCCACGTCCGAGGCTGGGAAAGGCAAGAGCAAGATGTCAAAGTACATCACTCACGGTTATCATCTTGTAGAGGGAAAATCGAGCCACCCCATGGAAGATTACGTTTTTGCCCAATTCAAAGAAGTCGGGGACAACGAGCTAGGCCTTTTCGCGATATTTGATGGCCATTTGAGCCGCGAAGTACCTGATTACTTGAAATCCCATCTTTTCAACAACATTCTCNTAAATACTGAATTATAGGACTGCAACAAAATTTTTAAATTACAGGATTGAAATTGCTAATAAAAAATCTATTAATTTGGGAGTTTGTTGCAATTTCACTCGACTGAAATTGAAATTGTAGCAAAATATTAAATCACAATGCCAAAAGACGAAAAGATGAAATGTTATGATCTTGGGATTAAAATTGCTATGATGTTAAACCAGGAGGACTAAAAATGCAATTTTGCCTTTATTTGTTTATTGCATAGTTTTTTTTTTTGATGGTTTATTGAATGCAATTAGCCCGATTTTTGGACTGCCACGGAGAATGCTATAAGGAGAGCATACCGAATAACAGATAGCACGATACTCGAGAAGGCGAAGGATCTTGGGAAGGGAGGCTCGACAGCTGTCACGGCCATATTAATCAATTGCCACAAGCTCGTGGTTGCGAATGTCGGTGACTCTCGTGCAGTGATATGCAGAAATGGTGTGGCTAAGCAGCTGTCGGTCGATCACGAGCCCGAAAAGGAAAGGGAGACCATCGAGAACAAAGGTGGATTCGTGACTAGGTTTCCCGGTAGGATTTTTTTCAGTTAGTTTACTGATTTATATTAGAGAAAATTATGTTGCACTTATTCCATTAAAAAAAAAAAAAGGAGACGTGTCACGCGTGGACGGACAACTGGCGGTAGCAAGAGCATTTGGTGACAAGAGTTTGAAGGAACATCTGAGTTCGGAACCTGATGTGGCAGTCGATGTTATAGACGATGACACTGAATTTATGATCTTGGCTAGTGATGGCATTTGGAAGGTTCGTTTTAGTTATATAATATATAGTTTCGAGTTTGAAAACGAATTTGCTCGGCTTAAATTTTGAATTTTGTGCAAGCGAAAATATAAATTTTTCTGATGTAATATTATCAGGTTATGACGAATCAAGAGGCAGTCGATTGCGTAAAAAACATCAAAGATGCAAGAAAGGCGGCCAAACGACTTAATGATGAGGCACTCGCAAGGCACAGCAAGGATGATATTTCGTGTATTATCGTGAGGTTCGGGTAGATAAACTAATTAGGAGTAAATTTCTTGATTGAAATTTTAGTCCTTTGGAAAACTGTGTTTGTGTAGACCCTTTTTCTTTTGCTCAATTTGTGTTGGGATTTGTTTGTTTTGTCAAACCTTTTATATTTCTGTAGCACATTTGGTTTTTCTTGATAAAAACAGAAATTTGGCAAAAAATATCAAAAACTCCATAAGCAAGAAACAGACAGTTTCAAGATAAAATACTGTAATTATCCTTAATTAAACATGCCATCCACATTAGGAAATGAAGCTCAAAAACACGTAGAGGAATGTTGAATTGTCTGCATGGAAGAAAAACAGGAGCCATTTTTAAGTTCAATTTTTTCATGACAGAAAAGAGTAAGCAGTGCTAGCTGATCATTTTTGAGTCTCCAGATTTTTGAATCTTCAGTACTGGCTTTCTTTGAACCTTTGGGCCGGGCTGGCTTTCTGGGCCTCGAGTGGGCTCTTCCTGCGGCGAAGGTTGTGGCCCACCAGGCGCCTACGGCAGCTCCTCTTTGTGCTGTCGAACTCGGACAGCTCGTGAAACCTGGGATTTGGATCCAACATTCTAACAATTTAGAACACTAAGCTGGTTTTTAAATCCAAATGTAGACAGCGTAAAATAGTTATCAAAATCATCTTTACAAGCACTTACATGTTACAAACAAAATGAAACAGAAGAGTTAACAATAAAACAGTAAAAAACTGGATGTCAGATTGTGCTCTTTAAAAGACTTTACAAGAACCTCTCACTTGCAAAATCCCACGGGCACATTCAAAATCACCTCTGCAATCACTCAGAAACAAAAGGCCAACAATAAAACAGTAAACAGCTACCTGCCCAAATGCCATTTGGTTCTCCTAAAAGACTAAACCCCATCCAAATACCACAAAAAGANAATTTTGGGGTCCAAGAACATTTTGTACCTGCTACAATGCAGAAAAAACCTCTGTCTGAAGACTAAAACCCATCCAAATACCACCAAAAAAAAAAAAGAAAAAGAAAAGAAAAAGAAAAATGCGAAAACCCCTCATTTGCCAAATCCCACAACATAACAACAAAATTAAAGATCCAATTTTTATTTCCTTAACACGTGTATTTATTCTAAAGATCATTAAATTTTTGGGGTCCAAGAAAAAGTTTGTACCTGCTACACTGCTGACAAAACCTCTGCCTCAAGCCATCAACCAACACAACAGGGGACTTTGAGTGGACCACACAAACCCTGTGCCTTTGGTAGTACTTCTTGAACCCCTCTAGCCCCGCCCCACATTCCTCCACCACGCAAAGAGGCGGCGCCGCCGCCGCCGCCGCTCCACCGCCGGCCCTCCTCCCGGAGCCACCATCATCGAGGCTCTGTTTTTTCCTCTTCAGCTGGGCCTCCACAAACCTCACCTTTTCCTCCTCTTCATCGGAAGTGGTTTCTATTTCCCCGTCGTCCACCAGGTTCTTGATTTCAAGGTACGAAGAGATCATGTCTTGCATGTTGGGATCCATTTTTTGTTTTGTTTTGTTTTTTTTTTTTTTT